AAAAGCTGAGTGAATTTTTTTCATGATTTTCTGACTGGTTCTTGTTTTCCTGCCTGCTGGAAATGTGGTTTTAGTTTTCAAAAACTTCGGAAGACGTTCTAACCCCTCCAGTTATCCAAGCAGTCTTCTTTCTGTTATTAGCAAGGTCTTTGAGTCTTTTATCAATAGGTTTCTCACATCCGATTGTGAGTCAAATAACTTGAAATTTTTTGAGATTATCAAGCCGTTTTTTTCTAGCCAGTTTATTAAAGTCATCCTTGAGGGCCTACACTCTTCTTTATTTTCAGTTATTTCTAGGATACCTTATTTCTAAAGCTTTTGATAAAGTTTGGCATGCTGGTCTTCTCCATAAGCTATCTTCCTTTGGTGTATCAGGTAACATCTTTAAGATTATTGAATCCTTCCTTACTAATCGCAGTATTAAAGTTGTCCTCGATGGACAGCACTCTTCTTCGTTTCCTGTAACTTCAGGGGTTCCTCAAGGTTCTATCCTTGGCCCTATTCTTTTTTTAATTTATATTAATGATCTCCCAGAAATTCTCACATCTAAGGTGGCATTGTTCGCTGACGATACTACCATTTATTCTTGTCTTGATAAGAAGCCAACACTCTCTGATCACTTGGAGCGGGCATTTGAGCTTGCAAAAGATCTCACTTCTGCTTCAGCTTGGGGCTCTCGGTGGCTGGTGAACTTCAATCCAGATAAAACTCAATTTTTCTCAGCCAATCGTTATCGCAACGGTCTAGCTCTTCCTATATTTATGAACGGTAATGTACTCGATGAGTCATCTACCCTTCATCTTCTAGGATTAACTCTTACTTCCGATCTTTCTTGGAAACCATATATCAAATCGATTGCAAAATTACCATCTGCTAAGGTTGCCTCTCTTTATCGTGCACGTCATTTTCTTACTCCTGATTCTATTCTTTATCTTTATAAATCTCAAATCTGACCTTGTATGGAATACTGTTGCCATATCTGGAGCGGATCTTCAAATGATGCCCTTTCTCTTTTAGATAAGGTGCAAAAACGTGTAGTAAACATTGTTGGACCTGCTCTTGCAGCCAACCTTCAACCATTGTCACATTGCCATAATGTTGCTTCTCTTTCTCTTTTTTATAAATATTATAATGGGCGCTGCTCTAAGGAGCTAGCATCTCTTGTGCCATCTACTAAAATTCATTCTCGTGTTACTCGTCACTCAATTAAGTCTCATCCTTTTACTGTGACTGTTCCTAAGTGCTCCAAAAGTTCTTATTCGTCTAGTTTTTCCTCGAACATCTGTTCTTTGGAATTGGCTCCCTTCAACTTGTTTTCCTGATTCATATAATTTGCAGTCTTTTAAGTCGTCTGTTAACCGTTATCTTGCTTTATAATCTTCATCTTTTCTCTTCTAGTAACTTCCAACTCCGGTAGTGGTTGCTTGCAGCCTTGTTGGAAGTGAAGATGTAAAAAAAAAAAAAAAAACCTCGAGGTTCTATCCTAGGTCCTGTTATGTTTTTTATCTACATTAATGATCTTCCTGACAACCCTACATCTAAAGTGGCTCTATTTGCTGATATATCAACTTTATACTCCTGTCTTGACAAAAAGACTTCTCTTTTCAATTGCTTAGAACTGTTATCTTAAATCTGATCTCACTACTGTAACAGATTGGGGCTTGCAGTGGGATGTGGATTTTAACTCCAACAAAACTCAATTATTTATTGCAAGCAACTATCACATTACTGTCAATATTCTTATATTAATGAATGGCAACCCTCTCACTGAGTCCTCTGCTTTACGTTTTCTTGAATTATCGTTCAATACTGACCTCTCATAGAAACCGTATTTACAATTGATTGCTAAATTAGCATCTGCTTAGGTTGCTTCTCTTTATCGTGCTAACCATTTTCTTACTCTTCATTCCATTATTTACATCCACAAATCTTTTATTTGTCCCTGTATGTAATACTGTTGTCATATTTGGGGTGGTTCTTCAATGATTTCTTCTTCAATTAAGTCTAAAATTGCATTGTAATTGTTGTTGGACCCATTCTATCTAACAAGCTTGAGCCTCTCTTCCATCATTTTAAATTTGCATTTCTTTCTCTTTTCTACAAATACTATCATAGTTGCTGCTCAAAGAAGCTATAATCTTTAGTATAATCAACTAAAACTCATTCTTGCCTGACGCGCCGTTCAGCAAAGTCTCATTCTTTTTTTGTATCTGTCCCTGCATGCTATAAAAACTTTTATTCATCTAGTTTTTTTCCTGTACTTCAACTCTTTGGAACTCTTTCCCACTCTCATGTTTTCCTGACTCAGACAACCTATAACTTTTCAAGTTTCTGTCAACCGTTTCCTTGCTCTTTAACTCTGTTCTCTTTTTTTCTAGTAAGTCCTAACTTAATAGTGCTTGCAGCCTTGTTGGGAGTGAATCAGAATAAAAAAAAAGCAAGAATAAATGCAACATTACAATTTACACAACAGAAAAAGTTCAGGAACTGTTTTGGTGAACATAAGGGAAGTAAAATCTAAAATCTAATTAGTCAATTCAAAAACTTAATCATTTAACAGATTAACACTGCTTCTATTTAAAAGGGACTTCAGTAAATAAAAAATAGAATGAATTTCAATTGATACTAGTTAATCAAAACTAATCACAAATCATATGTATAACTGAACCCTGGTTTGATAAAATATTTAATATAAACTTTCCTAACTACACTCATTAAGATAAAAACTTTTTATTTACAGTTTATTACTGTATTTTTTTGTTTTGTTTTTAATAATGAATAGTTTTTGATATTAAATGTAATATATATATATATATATATATATATATATATATATATATATATATATATATATATATATATATATATATATATATATATATATAAATTATATAAATTGAAAGTGTGAAATTAAAGCAGAAACTATCTATATCAGTTGCATTGCAGTAGAAAATTAAACAGCTAAAAAAAGATACAAAAGTAATTAATAGTAAAAAATAAAGTATTTGGCTTACAGAAGTAAATTCTTTCTACTCCAGGCCAGGTCAGGTTCAGGATCAACACAATCACCCAACTACTAGTAGCCTGTAACCCAGTTTTACCTGTTCCATGTCCTACTGCCATGGTATTAACCATCAAGAAAGATATTAACATAGTATTTATCATTAATATGGTATTTTAAACTCAATGAATTTAAACAGCCCTTCTTGTAAGAAACATGGGTCGCACACCTTATATGATGTGGGATTAGTAAATTTTGATAATTTATATGTTTTTATAAATGCTCTGAGAAAACTATGCTAAACTGATTAGAAAATTATAAAAATAAACGATAAACTGAAAAGCATAATCTTTACAAATAATAAAACAAATAAAAGACCAGAAAAAATAAAGGCATTAAGTCTACGTCAGTTTTGTTTTTATTGTGGCAATAAAAAAAATAATACTGACCTCCATTGAGATAAAAAAATTTGTTTCAGTTTTTTTTCACCTTTTCACCTTAAAAAAAGAAAAAATAAAAGCATAAAGTCAACATCGTTTTTTTAATTTAAAAGTGTTTCACTTCATAGAATTTAGAAAAGATTGAAGTTTTAGAATTATTTAATCCAAGTCTAATTTAAACTTAATTATTTTAGAAATTTGAAAATTTTGGTTTTTTCTTATTTCTACTAAAGCAAATAAAACTTATAAACAAAAAAAGATCAAGTAAAAGGATTTGAACCTGCATCTAATACAGAACTATTAGTCGCACTTTAAATTTATAACATTAAATCATCCTAAGTGCTACACTGCTGTTGTGATTTTCCAAAAATTTGGGGCAATTAATTCTTTAAAATTAAAAAATTATTAGGTTTAAACATTCGATAGAGACGCTCCTAATTTAAAAAAATATATTAGTTTTATAATTTATTTACATGTTTATCTTTTATCTTTTTTATTATTTGTTAAGATTTTGCTTCTCTTTTGGGTCATTCCATATCAACTCAACCAGTGATGTTCACCACACCATCTCAGATCTTCCTGAAATTTTTAGGGCTTGTAGTACATACAAAGTTAAGCAATTGCTGAAAATTTTAGGCCATTTCGTCAAAAACTTTCTGTGATTTTTTAAAGTTTGAAGGGTTGTCGTGAGTTCACGTGACTTTTACATTTTCGCGATATTTGGACGTGAATATTTCAAAAACTAAAACAGGTATCAGGCTGAAATTTAAAGCATTTACTCATTTTTTCATGCTGGGTTTAATGGTGTTTTATATCAAATGTAGCTTGCATACAAAATCCCCTAAAAATGTCCAAACATTGCACTTTAGGCAGTTTTCACCAATATTTGACCCGATATAGCGAAAAACCTATAAAACATGGAATGATGTTTGTTATACCATTAATAAGTACCATATATGTGTTTATTATTTTCATAGAAAATTCATGTTAATCAATGATAGTGTACCCATTGTAGGCACCGTTATGCATCACGGTCATCAGTTTGTTTGCGCATTGCGACCTCCAGATGACCATGTTGACAGTAATTCACACATTTCATATTTTGCACACATATTAACCTCAGTAAGTACTAGCTATGGTGAAAATTTCATGTTGGTGTCTTAAGCCTTTCCTACTAAATCAATTGCTAATTAAAACCATATTTCGTTAAGTTTTTTTTAAAAATATTTTTTGTACATTAAAGTGTATTGTGGTAAATCATCAAAGCAATGAACTGTCAATTAAATTTTATGAAAAAATAGTTAGTTTAAGTTACAAAACCAAATTATAGACTGTTTTTATCTACAATACAAATATAAAATTAATATTATTTTCACTTTTAATTTAATTTCTTTATTAAAGTCAAGCAACTACAGTTGCATGACTCGTATATTCTCATATGTGTAGTTCAACATAAATTAGATATTACAGAATTATAAATAACATATCTTTTTAACTTTTTTGCACTTACATGTAGTCATGGTTGCTTGTTAGTTATTTTTTTAAATGAATTGGTGTAGATACGAAGCTATGGGTTTTGATTCGCCTGAACAAGTGACAAAAGAATTCAAAGAAAGTGAGACTTTATTTTTGTATTTTAGTTTTGACAAAAATTATTAAAAAAAATTATTACCACATGCTTAAAAAAAAGTTAAAAAAAATATAGCTGAAAGGGAATATCCTTTTATAATTTATAAATTATTATTTTTAATTTATAAGTAACCTATAATATTAATATAATAGTTTCTAAATTTTTACATAAAAATCTTTCAAAAACAAATGAAACTTTAACTGTTTTACTTTATAAATTTTGTGGGTTGTACTAATAATTAAATTAACATAAAGTGGTTAAAGGTAAAGTTTCCTCTGAATTAAGAATGTTAGTTAAATATAACAAATAAAGAACTTGTGATTCTAATCAAATAAAGTTATTCAAAGATTTTTTTTTTAAATAACTTCACTTTTAACAAGGCTGCAAACAATCACTATTAGAGTTGGATGTTGCTAGAAGAGAAAAGATAGAGGTTATAAAGCAAGATAACAATTGACAGATAACTTAGAAGATTGCAAGTTACATGAGTCAGTAAGTGACGATAAAGAGATGCAACCTCAGCAACCTTAGCTAATTTTGCAATGGATTTGATATATGGTTTCCATGAAAGATCAGAAGTAAGAGTTAATCCTAGAAGATGAAGAGTAGATAACTCATTGAGTACATTACTGTTCATAAATATAGGAAGATCTAGACTGCTGCGATAACAATTCGCTGAAAAAAATTGAGTTTTATCTGAAATAAAGTTCACCAGCCTGGGACACCATGGGACAGTAATTATGTTCTTTATCAACACTTTTTATAACTTTTAATGGTTTTAAAAAAGTTAAGGTCGCCGTGTAGCAAGTTTAAAACATCAGTTTGCTTTTTTAAAAAAATTTTTGTTATTTAAAATGCAATACAAAACAATTTTATATTACATTCCCCTTTTCTCTAAGCAAACTAAATTTATTTGTAGAAAACTTAAAAAGTAAATTGTAAACCTTTGAGAAACTTTACTTTTGAGAATCTTAAAATATATGAGTTAGATATTTGCATAGACTTTTGTTTAAAATTTCTTATAAGTGTTTTCTCGCTATTATTTTAGATTCCATGGCTGCCACTGGTTTTGTGTAAACAGCGGCAGCCATTGAAAAAAGTCTTTCAAAAATCTGCTAACATTTGCTTTTAATGGACAAAATGACACACCTTTGTGTGTCATTTTGATTTTTGAAATATTTTAAGTTTGACCCCATCCTCGCTTTCAAAGTTTTATTCCCTCTGTTGCCACTTTCTAAAAATTATTTGACATTATAGTGAGACATTAGACTTAATATGAAAATGTATTGTGTCAATTGCATGTTTTTTATCAACTTTAAAGCCATTTTAGTTCTCAATATCTGATGAATTAATAAATACAATTAAAACATTCAGTTTTATGATCAACTTATTTAATTAATAATCAAAAATTATTAAGTTAAAAAAAAAGTATACGTAAAGTTTGAGATGTACTTGCATGAAATTTGAAATTTGTTGATGAATATAAATTTAGATAAAAAGAGTAAAGAAAATATTTTATAAACTCATTGCTCCCACGTTAAGAGCTGGATGGGCCCAAAAATTAGGGGGTTTTTTTTGTTGCCAAGGTCCAATCACCGCAATTCTTTGCAAAACATTCTCGTTTGACAAGTCATTATTAAATATTGTCAGGTCAGGTTATCTTGCTACTGGTAACATGTAGTCCAGTACAACCTGTTTCATGGCCTGCTGCCTTGAAGGATAAGCTTTTTTAGGCAAAAAGCTGGGAGATGCCAACTCTGACTTAAAACACCCCCTGCCTAATGAGGGTACAGCTCTAAAACTAAATTTAATGGTTCTGAGGCCGGCTAGTAGTCAGGTTTCCCGAACTCTGTGGTAGCTCTCAGGCTGATCCCATCAACAGCTGTAAGATATCAGAGTGCTAGCAGTGCCATATTGTGCATGGATTGTGTCCCTGTTTGTACTTTTTGGCTTAGGGTTTATTAATAGTAATGAAGCATTTGCTTGGACTATTAAATACAGCACTGAGTACTATCTGTGCTTTGAGTCAAGTTCTTTAACCTATTTGAAAAATATCAAAAACTATTAAACACAAAAAACTATCGGCATCACCAAATTCTCTAAATGTATCACTCACTAATATTCATGGTCTTTAAACTAACTTTTCTTTTGTTGAGTCTTATCTCTTGCAAAGTTCACCAGATCTACTTGCTCTTTCTGAGACTAATTTGAGTTTGACTCTCTCATCTTGTGATCTGAGTGTTAATGCTTATCTTCCTTTAATTCGTAAAGACTCCAATACTCACATGCTGGGCTTTGGCATTTACATTCGTAAGAACACACCAATTTGTTGAGAAACTAGGTTTGAATCCAATAACTATTCTTTTATTTGCTTTTGTTTAGCACCACTTCACTCTATCACCTTTCTCTTTGTTTTATATCGCTCTCTTTTATCTCAAGACTGCACTCTTTTCGATATAATTTCTGATAAAATTTAATAAGCCTTTTCTCTTTATCCTTCAGCCAACATTGTTGTTCTTGATTTCTCAGCAGGAAGACAAAAAAGAAACAACATTGTTGTTTCTTTTTTGTCTTCCTGCTGACAAATCTGCTTCATATGTAACTTCTTGGATTCAGGCTGGCATGGAATCTTTTATTCCCTCTCAAGGATTCCAAATTAAGCCTCACTCTTCTCCATGGTTTTCCTCTCATTGTGCTGCTTCAATCTCTAATTGTAACCATTACTTCCATATCTATCGCCAAAACAATTCTCTTGAAAATAGACGTCTGTTCACTATTGCTAGAAACTGTTGTAAAAAGGTTTTGTCTAACGCCAAAACCGCTATTCTCAGCTCGTATTTCTTTTCAAAAATTAGGCTCCCGAGACTTCTGGAGAATCTTTAACAGTGTCAATAATAAGTGCAAATGTGTTATTCCTCTACTTTCACACGGTTCAGATTAATTACTTTACCTAAAGACAAAGCTGAATTGTTTGCTAAGAACTCAATATCATCTGTTGATTCTACTAATCACATCCTACCTGATATAGCCGACAAACAGGTTTATCCATTGCTTGACATTTGTATGACTCCGGCTTCTGTATCCAAAGTGATTTCCTGCTTAGACTCTTCTACAGCTTGTGGTCCAGACAACATACCTGTTATTGTCTTGCAGAAGTGTTCTCCCAAGTTGTCCTCTATACTTTAAAAACTATTCAACAAGTGGTTATCAGAGTTTTGTTTACCAGCCTGCTGGAAAGAACCATCTGTTATTCCTATTTTCAAAAAATCTGGAGAGCGATTTGACTTGTCTAGCTACCGTCCCATTAGTCTTCTTCCTATCATAAGCATGGTTTTTGAGTCATTAATTAATAAACATTTATTCTCTCATCTTGAATCTAATAATCTACTTTCTGATCATCAATATGGATTTCAATCGATTGTTAATGGTAATAACTGATAGGTTTTATGGTATATTAAATAGATGTGGAGAGGGTAAGGCTCTCACTCTTGGCATCTCTAAAGAATTGATAAAGTTTGGCATGCTTGTCTTCTCCATAAGCTATATTCCTTTGTTGTATCAGATAACATTATTAAGATTATTGAATCCTTCTTTACCAATCATAGTATTAAAGTTGTCCTTAATGAACAGCAGACTTCTTCATTTTCTGTAACTTCAGGGGTTCCTCAAGGTTCTTTCTTTGGCCAACATTTTTTTAATTTATTTTAACTATCTCCCATATTCTAACGTCTAAGGTGGCATTGTTTGCTGATGATATTACCATTTATTCTTGTCTTGATAAGAAGTAAACACTCTCTGATCACTTGGAGCAGGCATCTGAGCTTGAAAGAGATCTCACTTCTGCTACTCTCAGTTGTAAGTGAACTTCAATTCAGCTTAAACTCAATATTTTTCAATCTATTTCTTAGCAGATGCTAATTTTATTTTTCAAAATTAGCATCTGCTAAGGTTGTATCTCTTTATTGTACTCGTCACTTTTTTACTCAGGATTCTATTCTTTATCTCTATAAATCCCTAATCCGACCTTGTATGAAATACTGTCGCCATATTTGGAGCGGATCTTTAAATGATGTCCTTTTTCTTTTAGATAAGGTGCAAAAGCACATTTTAAACATAGTTGGACCTGCTCTTGCATCCAACCTTCAACCACTGTTACATTGTCGTAATTTTGCTTCTCATCTCTTTTTTATAAATACTGTAACGGGCGCTGCTCTTAGGAGCTAGCGTCTGTTGTGCTATCTAGTGAAATTCTTTCTTGTATTACTTGCCACTTAATTAAGTCTTATCCTTTTACTGTGATTGTTCCTAAGTGCTCCAAAAGTTCTTATTTGTCTAGTTTTTTTCCTCAAAATCAGTTTATTGAAGTTTGCTCCCTCTATCTTGTTTTCCTGATTCATATAACTTGCATTCTTTTAAGTCGTCTGTAAATCGTTTTCTTACTTTAAAATCTTCATCTTTTCTCTTATAGTAACTTCCAACTCTAGTAGTAGTTGCTTGCAGCCTTGTTGGAAGTGATGATATTTAAAAAAAAAAATGTATGAACATTAGGGTGTCCCAAAAATATGGAAAAAATTTTTTTTCATAAACTTCTTTTGAACACCTAAAATTCCTTGTCTATACTAAGGTAGAAGATAAATACATATTAAGAAATTGCTCTCAGATCATTTTAAGTGCTTACTGTAAAATTTCTAAATCTTCCTTTTTTTAGCTATAAAAGATCAAAATAAAATAACTCACAGTATGATTCTTTTATTCACAAATATATTTTAATATTATGATATAGGAAGCTTTAAATTTTAATAAGTTCATTTTGAGTTACTTTCTTTGTTGCTTTTTTTTATCTCCTCTCTTATCAATAGATATTTTAACGCTGTTCTTCCTTTTGAGAATATTTAAAAAAGTCATTTATGAAGCCAATGTTTCTTTCATCACAGTAGTTAGTTACACTAAGTCCTTAAACAAAATTTTCAAAAACACAATACGAT